CCCAATGGCAAAGGGTTACCTTGAGTATTGCTAACTGTTTCGTTCATGTGTGTATTCTGCATGTTAGTGCCATCCATTTGGATTACTCTGACTTTGTCATAAGTTTGAAACTGGACTCTTTGGCTTTGTTCACCCCCCAGTCTCACTTTTTAGACTGTGTTAGTACTAGATTCCAGTTTCAAATTTTAATTACATGTAAAGCAAGTGACTTGAAAATTTTGTTGTAAAAACAAACAAACAAACAAACAAAAACCCTAAATTAGATTGCTTCTGTGTTAACATGGCTTTGGGTTGATGCTTTTGTTTTCTAAGTTTTCTAGCCTGATGTGTTAGCTCAGACCTGTAATCCTAGCACTTGGGAGGCTGAGGCAGGAGCATCAGTTCAAGACCAAGTAGGCTATATAGTAGGTTTGTTTGGCAGCCTGTGCTAGATGAGAGGATAGAGAGAGAAGAAAGAAAAAGATTATCGAGGTATGATTTGTATCCCTCCTTCACTCAGTGCCCACTTCAGTGGTTTAGTATGTCCAACAGTGTCATATAAGCATTGTCGCAGTAATGTTTTAGAACACTTTTATTACCTAGAAAAGAAACTCCATACTCATTAGCTGTTTCGGGGAACCCAGTTTATGAGAGTCGGTAACCAAAGGCAGCAAGTGCTGAGAGGCCAAAGAAAACTACAGGCAAATCCAGGATTTCACAACCTGCAGTGTTTCAGTGATGCAGAGAGCGGAACCTGCCTTGGGCAGCAATAGGACAAGAAGATCCTGACCCCTCACAGGCAGGAGGGATGGGTCCAAATACTAAACTAGACAAAGCTATGCAAAGGTAGCCTCCCCAAATCAGAGCATACCTGAGCTTTATTTTAGGGGAAAAAAAATCCCCTGCGCAACTTATATGTCATTTGCTCGTTAGGAAACTGTCCAGATACCATCAACCAGCGCAAAGTGCTCAGCTGGCTGTTTTTCCTTACAGTGTTTATAATTTGTGCCTGTGGCATTCAGTGAACAAAGTGGCAATCTGTCAACAGAAAAATGGATAAAAAGCTAGTGTTACAGGATCATACACAGTTTAGTAAATAAAAGAAGCAATGTATACTTTTACATTAAGCTGAGTGTTAGCTTGCTACAAGAGAATCTCAGCTAATACGTCTATATAACATCCAGAGGAGGAAACAGTACAGTAATTACTTTTTAAACTGGGAAGGGGTTGACTAGGAAAAGCCAAGAAGGAACTTTGGTGATAATATCTATAGTTTGATAAGTATTGGGTCATAGAAGTGTGTCCATCTGTCAAACCTCACTGAATGGTGTATTTAAAATGTTTGGAATTTGAGTTTTACTTCCTAGATCATGTGATTAGATGCATGAGTTCTGAGCGCCACCATGTATGAGCCACTGAGCTTGGCTGCTTTCCCAGTAATTGTTTCTTTCCACGCAGATATAATAATTCATAGATTATTAATATGAATTTTAGCATTTATCTTTAAAAATTCATGGCACTTTAGCTATTTTAAGGAGTATCTTATTTAGTCATATAAATATTGTATTAAAAATACCATTTGGGCTGTGTATGTGACTCAAGTGGTCTAAGGCCTGAGTTATTTAACACTAGTGCCAAGAAGAGGGGAAAAAAAGCCATGTTTTCATTACTAGGTTAATTGGTAGGTAGATGACGAGTTATGGTAATGCAGTCCTTTATTCTTGTTTTTTAACATCAGGAATGTAAATTATGGAGGTGGGGAGATAGTGCTTCCCTTGCGTACTTGAGGACACGCATGTAAAAGCCAGGCATGGGGCTCATGCCTGTAATGCCAGTACTGAGGAGGAAGGGACAGGAGTACCCTGGGCCATGCTAGTCAGTCAGTGTCTGTCTCACAAACAAGAGCGAGGGAGGAAAGCACAGCATCAGCCTCTGGCCCCTCGCTTCTGACTCTGACACGCGCTCACTTTGTAACTCTAGCTGAGCTGGAATTCATGGTGTTCCTGCCTCAACCCCCTCAGTGCTATGATTACATCCATGTAATCACATACCATACCAAAGATTTTGTATTCTGATGCTTTTCTGAAGTTATTTGTCAGATCCAGATTGTGTGTGTGTGTGTGTGTGTGTGTGTGTGTGTGTGAACTCCATGGGGTTTTTAAGTATAGAATCATGTCATCTACAAATAGGAATAATTTAACTTCTTCCTTTCTGATCTTTATCCCTTTTAGATCTTTTTGTGTGCATGTGTACGTATGTTGTCTGATGTATGTATGTGTGTGTATGTGCATGTGTGGGCATGTACACTTACCTGTGCATGCACATATGAGGTTGACCATTAGCACCTTCCTCCATTATCCTTGACCATATTTTAATTTTGTTTTGTTTTGTTTCCCGGCCAAGGTTTCTCTGTAACAGCCCTCACTGTCCTGGAACTCAATTTGTAACATCCGCCTGCCTCTGCCTCTGGAGTGCTAGGATTAAAGGTGTGCACCACCACGCCCAGCTCTTATTTTAATTCTTTTAATATAAAGTCTCTCACTGAACCTGGAACTGTTGTTTTACTTGGACTTTGTCCCTTGAGCCTGTGGGATCTAGCTGTCTCCGTCCATCCAGATTGGGATTGCAGGCGTGTGCTTCTCTCCCAGCTTTTTTATGGGTGCTGAGAATCAGCTTAGCTGCTTATGTTTGCCCACCGAGTCACTTCCCCGGCTCTAATTTGAAGCCTTTTGAGACACCTCCACATTGATTTCCATAGTGGCTACAATAACACCCTCCCTTGAATAGCATTTCCATTAAAACCAGGAACAGTAAGTAAGAGAGTGTCCACTTTCTTCACTCTTACTTAATACAGTTTTCAAAGTCTTAGCTAGAGCAAGAAGACAAAATAGAAAGCTATGAAAGGGGGCAGTCAAATGGAAAGCGGTGTCCTTCTGTGGCCACCACAGGTGGGTGCACCAACACACTCATGTGTACACTGCAGACACGAGTACATGAATATGCACACACTAACATACAAGAAAAAAACTAAAAGAGTTTCCATATATGTATGACCCATTCTTGATATATACTATTCCTGGGCATAAACCCAAAAGATTATATATGCTATTATTATAGATACACTTGCTCATTCATGTTTATTGTTGCTATCTTCACAATAGTAAGGAAATAGAATCAGCCTAGATGTTCATGAACAGATGAATGGTTACTGTAATACACATGCACACACACACACACACACAAGGATTTTACTCAGTTGTAAAGAAAAATGAAGATATGAAATGCCCAGGAAATGAATGGAACTGTAAAACATTTTAAGTCTGGTAAAGCTAGGCTCAGAAACATAAATCCCACATGATGTCTCTCACCTATAGACTCAAAGACATGAAACTCACAGATAGAAAGCACTGGTACCCTCGATAATTCCTATTAGCAATGCCTAGGAAACATTACCCTAAAACAGAGCTAAGGTTCTCAGACATTCTAAGCATAGAGAAAGAGAAGAAAAGAAAGGAGAAAGGGATGCCATCAAAGATTTAGGGTCCTAGACCCTCCTACAGCTCCTCGCCTGCCAGTCTGGTTGAAGCTGTAAAGTGTGTTGTTGCATACACAGTGCACAGGCCTTCAGCCTGTCTTCCTACCTCAGATCAAGTTTTCAGTCACTCCTACAAAACAGAACAGGGTGGGGAGATGGCTTAGCACTTAATGCACTTGCTGTGGGAGCCAAGAGGACCAGAGTTCGGAGCTCCAAACCTCACAAATACCAGGTAGTGGCTCACCTCTAATTCTGGCCTCTGGAGGTAGAGACGAGATCCCCAGAACAAACTGCCTAAGGAGACTAGCCATGTTGACAGCAAGCTGAGTTCAGCTGAGATTCATTGATGTGGGAGTGTCATATATCAATCTGTTGATTTCATTGGTTAAGCAATAAAGAAACTGCTTGGCCCTCATAGGTTAAAACATAGGTGGGAGGAGTAAACAGAACAGAATACTGGGAGGAAGAAGAAGTGAGCTCAGACTCGACAGCTCTGCTCTCTGGAACAGAGATGCCATGCTCCCCTCTCCTGGGAAGAGATGATAGCTCTGCTCTCTGAGGCAGACGCTTTTCAGCTCCGACCCAGGATGGACGTAGGCTAGAATCTTCCCAGTAAGCGCACCTTGGGGTGCTACACACCTGATTGGAAATGGGCTAGTCCAGGTGTAAGAGTTAGCCGAGAAGAGGCTAAATATAATGGGCCAAGCAGTGTTTAAATGAATACAATTTGTGTGTTGTTATTTCAGGGCATGAGCTAGCCAGGCAGCCGGGGTGCCAGGGACGCAGCCCCGCCGCTCCTGTTACTACAATTCATTGCCTCAAAAAGAATAAAGTAGAGGGCAGTCAAGACAACTGGACACCAGGATGTCCTCATGCATGCACATTTGCCCATACACACACACGTGCACATGTAGAGAAGAAATAAAATTTTACTTAAGGGAAATAGGAACTGGAAAGTTAATTGTAGAACTGAGGGCTAGTCTTAATATTAGACATAACATGGAGGTCTTTAGAGATGGGTAATGAGGGTCCAAGAGACCATGAGCAAACAGAATAGAAGAGAGCATGTCCACATGCCCTCCCTGTCTGTAAGATCCACTGTTTTTAGGGTAGAACATGGATTATCCATTGGAAAAAGGCTTTTGAGAGGAATTCCGTTCACATGTTCTCCATTGGTGGGGAGCCGTCAGGATCACCCTGTGTCCCTCTCAAACATGCCTGCATGCCATTAGTTGGCAGCTTCACTCATGCCTAACTGGTGCCTATAAACACTCATTGTTAGCTGGGCGGTGGTGGCGCACGCCTTTAATCCCAGCACTCGGGAGGCAGAGGCAGGCTGATCTCTGTGAGTTTGAGGCCAGCCTGGTCTACAAAGGGAGTTCCAGGACAGGCTCCAAAGCTATAGAGAAACCCTGTCTCAAAAAACCAAAAAAAAAAAAAAAAAAAAAAAAAAACCAAAACACTCATTGTTCTTTCTTTCTTATAGTAAGAAGAGAACATAACCTATAGAGGCCGTCTTTTGGCAGAAGATGGTAGATTTGAACCAGAAAGAGGAGGAGTTGGAAGCTAGGAATCCAAAGTGAAGAAACTCTGCGAGCCCTTGGGTGAGAAAGGAAGCGGGTTGTTAGGGTACTTATGTGCTGCCTGCCCCACACCGCTGTTATGTGCTTATCCACTGTGAGTGATTTTAAAGAGAAGGTAGAACAGGAGCAGGCTGCTGAAATGAGTTGTTTTTAAAAAAAAAAAATCACAATTTCTTGTGGTGTGTGTGTGCGCGCACGCGAGCGTCTATGACACGTGTGTGGAGGTCAGAAAACAACTTGCAGGAGTCAGTTCCTCTTTCTACAGTGTGGGTCTCAGGGTGGAACTCAGGTCTTCAGGGTTGGTAGCACTCTTACTACCAAGGCACCTTACCAGCCTTGGAGAGGAGTTTCGACTACACATTCCCCACGGGAACATCAGTCAGTGCTTCTTGTCAGTCCCTTGCCTACCTTCCCTCCTGTTGAGGGCCAGTGCTTGTTGTAAAATATCTTGTAAATATCCAGAGCTAACATTTCCTGCAGCCGTATTGCTTCCAGGCCCCAAGGTGTTGTGCCTTTCTTGCCTTACTTCATTCCCTTCTCAAAACAACCCAATTATACAGATAAAGCACCTGAAACTCCAAAGGGGCAAACAGTTGGCCCATAGCCAAAAGCTAGGAAGTGCCACAGTCAGGTTTTAAACTCTTGCCTTCTGAGTTCACCTCTGTACTTAGTACTTTCTTTCTCTTCCCAGAAGAAAAAGGGGGAGTCGTATTCGTACCCCCTCCCCTGTAGTCTAGCAGGCCCCCTAGTTTGACAGCCTCTTCTGGAAGGTTGGCTGCCAGTTCCTGAGAGTTAAGCATTAATATTTACATACTCAAACTCTGGAAAAACCAGAGACGACTGAAAGAAATCACAGTAGTATTGCTGACGTTGCATACCTGCATGTCCTGTGTTAATATTTCCACCTCCAGTCTCTTTCCATTCATGTGTGCATTTCCCTGCATGACTTTGTTTTTACCCGGGTAGTGGTGTAACTACCCAACAATCAGGAAGCTGAGACAGGAAGATTATAAGTTTTGAGATCATCCCTCGACTGTATAGTGAGGCCTTCATATTTTAAATATCGGTAGCGCTTTCACGCCCACATTGTAGTGAAGTCTCCGTTGATAACATTAGACTGCTGGCACTTGGAAGCTAAAAAGCCTCATTATGGTTCGCACCTGCTGCTTCTAGTAGTGTTTGTCCTCTGTTGTTTCTGGAGAGTGATCTGGCAGTGTGTTCTTACAGTTCATGCTGGCCAAGCACTTTACCAGCTTTACCAGGGAGATCTTACTGTGAAGCCAGGGCTAGTCTGATGTAGTGGCCTCCGTGTTACTACGTGTCCTACGGGATGACTCGTGAGTCGGGCAAGGGACTGGAGATTGAAACACACACACGCACAGAGAGAGAGAGAGAGAGACACGGGTCACTCTTGAAACAAGAATTCCCCCTTTATTGTGTTCCAGGGCAGCTTATATAGGGCTCTCCTTGGCCATGCCCTAGCTCTCAGGATTTTTCAGCTGCAAGACCACCAGAAACCACTCCCCTGCCATCAGGAACTCATGAGGGTCTCATGCTCAGAGCAGCTGCAAGAACAGGAAAACAAGCTGTTTACTCTGGCAGGCAAGGGGTCATAGAAAATTCAGGGTCTGAGGGTCCACAGTCTCCAACAGTCTGACACTTGCCATGCAGCTCAGGCTGGCCCTAAACTCATGATCCTCCTGCCTCATCCTTCCTAGTACTGGGATGTCAAGCATGTATCCTATTTTCTTAAACCCTTTTAATCTATGACACCTGGTCAAGTGTTTTGTTTGTTTGTTTGCTTGTTTAGCTTTTTGGTATTAAAATCAAAATCGCCATTTGGTTTCTCCAAACTCTAGAATGACTAACTGCCTTGGTGTCTCTGTCTCTTTATCTCTTTGTAGGTTCCTATTACTGCCACCATGCCAGAAATGACAGAGCATGAGACACCAACGAAAAAACAGCACAGGTGTGTATCCACAGCCCCAAACTATACCATGTAGGCAGGGGAGAAACAGAATTAGCTGCTAGTTTGCTAAACAACCCTTAGTGAACCTGTATTTAGATGCCTAAAAAATGATTAATCTTCAAAATAGATTTAATAAAGGAGATGCATGGCTAAAAATTTAGCTGTCCTTGTTTTCTCAGCAGTCTGACAAGTAAGGATGGTCACCAGTAGTCGAACAGTAACCATAGGGGCTCACAGAGACTGAACTGACAGCCAGGCAGGCTGCATCAGACTGACCTAGACCCTCTGCATGTGTGTGACAGTTGTGTGGCTTGGTCTTCCTGTGGGACTCCTAATGGTGGGAGTGGGAGCTGTCTCTGACTCTGCCAGCTTTTGGAACCCTACTCCTCATACTGGGTTGCCTTGCCCAGCTTTGATATGAGGGGATGTGCCTAATCTTACTGCAACATCATGTGCCATGTTTGGTTGATAGCCATGGGTGGACGCAGGAGTTGCTGGGGTGAGCAGAGGGGAGGTAGATGGGGGGAGGCACTGGGAGGAGAGGAGGAAAGGAAAACTATGGGTTGAGTTGTAAAAAATATATATAATTTTTAAAATTATACCAAATTTTTGTTACATGTTTGCTTCCTAAGGACATTTTTACTGGTATCCTGAAACATCTAGATTGTATTTAGTTTGTTAACATTATAATCTATTAATAACAATATACATAGCATTACTTTCATTTTCTTATAGCTCCTGTCCTGAGTTTCTAGCATTTTAGGCCACTGTTTTTCAGTAAGGTTGAAACTACTGTATTCTCTTCCCTTACCGAAAAGCTATCAGTGAAAGCTAATGTGTTGAGTAATTATGCAAAATGGGGAAGTCAGTGTCTTTAGTAGAAGTTTTTAAGGAAAGGTAAGAGTTAGAAAATGTGAATACCCAGATGAGAAAGATGACCGGATGCAGGGGACACCGAAGGTGCTGCTGCCACCACGTCTCCCTTGCTGGGACTCACAAAGCTACACTGCACTGTTGTTCCGTCTCCTACTCACCCCTGCCTGCAGTCCCAGCCACTTCCGGGCGCAGCCACAGTTAAGGAACAATTTCAAAAGTGAAGGCTTTCAGTGATCGATTCTGTTCTAGCATGTGATTTCCGGTATCAGTAGAGAATCGCTCTTTCTTCCAGAAATGTTATCCATTGGATTTATTTGAAAGTATCTGCATTGTGGTTCTTATGCTGTAATATGAACTAATTTTCCTTTCTTCGGGTGTTCTTTATTGCTGCAACAAAGACAGTTTCATAATATTTATTTTTATGGTTAGGAAAATATTCTTCTTTATTGTCTTCATGTTCCTGTCTGTGTGCTTGTGTTTCAGAAAGAAGAACCGGGAGACACACAATGCAGGTGTGTACTGCAACCGGAACTCTGCTGGGATTAATTATGCCTGGTTGATTATACATTGTTATGTTGTGAACATAAAATTATTTGTTATATTTTAGAAAGGGCACCTTTATTGTCTTTATTGACAAAATCTTCTCAGAGCCTCACAGAGCTGACTGTAACACCTCATTTGCAGCCTGCTTTGGATTGGTTATGATATTAGACTATTTGGGGGCCAATGTTGGAAGACTTTCACTCAGGACATTGGGAAAAGGTTATAGAGGGGCAGCTCCCTTGGGAAGAAAGAGGTGAGCCATGGGCTCTTTGCATGTGGCAGTCTTCCTTGTGAGAAAAGAGTGGCTCTGTAGATCAGGCTGACTTCGAACCCACAGAGACCCACCTGCCTCTGTCTCCTCATTACAGCTTGTGCTGCTATACCAGCTATATGTGGACAACCCTAAGTTATATAGATTTCTATTATAAAAACAAATGTATAAAATTAATGTGCTCCTACCTCAAGTGTTAGAAGTACAGGCTATCCTCAGGGAAGTGTAAAATGTTCATTGTGTGTTCATTTTCACTTTGACACACTCTGTAACATTTTATTTTTAATCAGGGACTGCATTCTGCACTCAGAAAAAGAATATAAAAATTGCTTTCTGCTAATCTGTATCTGTAACTATAGCTATACATAAAAAATTCCTGGGGAGAGTTTATCCAGAAAGCTGCGTTGAACACTGGTGGGATGAATTTATCACCTTTGAAATCCACCCTTATATAACAATGAGTACTATTGTTAGGAAATGAATAATGTAAACCACACTTAAGAGCCTACCCCTCAGTTATTAAAAAGGAAGAATTTAAGAGATAGCCAAGAGGTGTGCGTGTGCGCCCACAGAGGTTTGGATCCCCTAGGAGCTAGAGTTACAGGTGATTGTGAACCATCTAATGTGGGTGCTAGAAACTGGATCTGGTCCTCTGGAAGAGCAATACATGCTCCCAAGTGCTGAGCCATCTCTCCAGCTCTTAGGCATGTTTTTACTTTCAGCATCTTATAGAAATTATTTGTATGAATTCTTGTGTACTCTTATTTAGAGTTTAATATGTCAGTCTGGAACATTTTGGTAGTTAATTGACAAGTTTTCAGTAGCCCTGCCCTGTTGTCCTAGTTTCATTTCTGTTGCCACGATGAAATATCCTGACCAAAAACAGCATAGGGGACTTAAAGTTCTAAGTTACTGTCAGTCACCAGGGGAAACTGAAGCAGCTAGTCACATACATTCAATCAAGAGCAAAGAAGCAATACATTCTTGATTGCTTTTAACTACCTTTCTCCTTTCTTATACCATTCTGGGGATGGAGTCCCCCACAATGAACTAGGTTTTACTACATCAATTTGCAGGTAAAACAGCCCCTCACAGAGAAGACCACAAGACAACCTGGTCTAGATAATTCTTCATTAAAATTATATTTTTTAAAAAGTGATCTTAAAAAAAAATAAAAGGTGATCTTAGGCTGTGTTAAGTTGATGTTATAGCTAGCTTGTACTCTGTTTCTTAGATGAAAAAGATTGTACCTGGCTAGAGTGGGCATCCCAGAAACTATAGAAAACCAAGTCACTACCTTTTCTTTTTTTATTATTATTATTTATTTATTTATTAAAGATTTCTGTCTCCTCCCCGCCACAGCCTCCCATTTCCCTCCCCCTCCCCCAATCAACTCCCCCTCTCTCATCCGCCCCAAGAGCAGTCAGGGTTCCCTGCCCTGTGGGGAGTCCAAGGACCTCCCACTTCCTTGTCAATACCTTTTCTTATCTATTTTAAGACACAGCCAACAGCTGCTTCTATTCCAAAAGGGCCTAGTCATCCTAGGATCTTAAAATTTAAAGAAAGGTCTCATTTGCCCAAAAAAGACAGCTTTTTGGTAACTTCTTAGTGGTTTCTTTCAATTTGGTTGTGATATAGCTCAGCAGGTGACGTGGCTTGCCACTGAGCAGGGTAACCTGAGTTTGATAACTGGAGCAGACACGATGGAAAGAGAACTGGCTCCTGCAAGTCATCATCTGACCCTCATGTATGTGCTGTACATGTGCACGTGTAGTGGCATTTCATTTGTATTTTAATAAATAAAGCTTGCGTGAAGATCAGAGAGTAAAACAGCCCTGGTGGTCAGCCTTACAGACCAGGGAGTGGTAACATACACACTTAATCCCAGTAGCCACACTAGTTTTCCATAGAAACCAGGCGGTACATGCCTTTAATCCCAGTGTTGCACACCTTTACTCCCAGCCCTAGAGAGGCTTATAAAACGGGAGGAGACAGCTCTCAGACACAGTCTCATTCTGAGATTTTTGGAGGCAGCATCATCATTTCAGACTGAGGTTGAAGTAAGAGCCAGTAGCTGGCTGTTTTGCTTTTTGGATCTTCAGGTTGAACCCCAGTTTCTCTCTATGAGTTTTTATTAATCGCGCTCTATAATAAATAAATTATACATGAAACAAGATAAAAGTGAATTTGAAAAATAAATTTATCAGTGAATCTCTACTAGTTATTTTAATTATAATGGAAAGATGACCTAATAATAATAATTCCTTTTTATAATTTAATGTTGTTATTATTTATGGTTTTCTTTACAATGTTTATCATTTTGATTTAAAATATTTTATTCTTAGAAAGCTTATGTACAACCTTTCTTGTTTGGGTAAATAATGATTTTTTGGCCCAGAGCTCAATTCTCTTTCCATGTCCACTGAGCTGCAGACCCCCAGCCTCTTCTGTATAATTCTTTCCTGACAGTCCCTTTGCCCTGAGAAATTAGATACTTTGACCAAGTAGTATAAGGGTTGATAATGTGTTTTTCCTCTTTCTAGTGGAGAGGCACAGAAAGAAGAAAATCAATGCTGGGATAAACAGAATAGGAGAACTGATCCCGTGTTCCCCTGCTCTGAAACAGGTAGGTGTCCTCATCCTCTGAAATAGGTAGTCCCCTCCCCTTCCCCCAAACAGGTGGATATCCACTGTATTTCTTTTCTCTACTTGTTAGTAGAAAGTGCTCTCAATTATTTTAGTTTCTAGAATGATTATTGTTGTTCTCTGTCATTTATCAAGGACCAGGGGAGGTTTTAAGTTGATAACTTTATTTTTCATTCATTTCATTTATCTGTATACTTTTATGTTTTTTGTTTGTGTTTCTAGTAATCTCCTAGTACAGTTTTCTACATGGTCAGATATACCATGTGGTTGCTAGACAGTTGTTCATTTTCCAGGTAGTCTAAGGTAGCCAATGATTAGATTGATATGATCTACTGTGTTTTCTATCATTGCTTTCTGATCATCAATGTTCTTTATGCTTTTAAAATTATTACCTAGAGTCTTTTAGGAATTTTTTATTTATTCCTCATGCTCTCCACACATGTCCCATCCCCTTTTTTTTGAGCCCGGTTATTGCTATCTAGCCCAGAACTCAATATTCTCTTGCCTCAGGTTCCTTCACATCTAGTCTCTTCATGACTTATTAAATCCAATTATTAATTGTAAATCTCAACTTAATGCATGATACCTTTCTCTAATGAAGGTAATTTTTATTTCTTAAAATAATGAAGATAAAACTCATTGAATACAAAACAAATTAATTCAGGTAATATGTAATCATGAAAAACTAAACAAAAATTGACATACCACTTTCAAGTTATGATCACTAATAAAATATTGCACATCTGTCTGCAATCTGTCTGATTGCTTTGTCAGTGAGTGTCAGTTCTGCTTTGGAACCTGACTTGATCATTTCCACTCAGAGTCATCTGTGCTTTTAGTTGTAGATAACTTTCTCATATGATCATCTCTCCTTCATGACTATATAGTATTCCTTTGCAGTTGGAATCTGAGAACTTGTAGTAGTTTTTAAACTAATTTTAATTAAATGATCTATGTAAATAAATATGTGTATATAGTAAATAGTATTTAAAAATCAGTGTCATTGTTCTTCCTGCTTCCTAGACTTAACACAGCTTTCAGAGACAGCTCTTCTCAACTTTTCCCTTTGATACTTAGTTTTTCATTTCTTAGTTTCTGTATACTTTTAAACTTTTGAGATTGTATGTGTGTTGACCACACCCGATGTGATGGCCAGAGGAGGACATGGGATGTCTTCCTTTATCATTCTCCATCTTTTAAAGATGTGGCATTTTTATTAATTCTTTGAGAATTTCATTCATCGTACAATCTATTTTGATCATATTTACCCTCAACTCCTTCCCAATTCCTCCCAGTTCCACTCCCTTTCCCACCTCCTTCCAACATCATGCTCCCCCTTTTTTTTATTGCAAGAGAAAAGTTTGCCCTCATGGACGAGGCTGGTATATAGGTCTATTCGGGTGTGGTGCTTATTCAGTGATCAGCACCCAAACCTGTGCCCACTCGTAATTCTTTCATTATGGATCTAGTCTGACTTTCTGGGTGCAACCCTGAGCTAGACCCCTCCAGTCACAGGATAGGATAAGGTGGTGATTTGTCTCCAGGCGCTGGACCCAGCCTGCAATCAGGGAGCTTGCCTTGGTGCCTGGTTGTCCTGTCTCTGGCATAGAAAATGAGCCTCGAGCTGGCTTACAAAGGATTGCACAAGGACATCTCTTTCTTTCCCTGTTGAAGTCGTGGAGGCCTGTCTGACTTGAGGGACGGACACAACACCAGGTCACACCCACTCAAATGGACTAAAATTCAACCATTCTAAGTCTCAGCCTGGGGGTGTTAGAGATTTGTCCTAACATTAGGAGACTGGCCTTCTAGGAGATGTCCAGACAGGGCTAGAGAATCTAGAGCTATACACAGTATTTTGCTTTGCCCCATGTTGACTTAGGATCTTTATCTTGGCTAGTTGTGTTTCAACTGTCCCTGAGGTTGAAATTTTCTAGTTCAAATTTCACAGAAAATAAACATACATGTGTGATCAGAGCAGGAAGAGAAGTTATCCACTGATTCAGGATGTGGGTGTGGGGAGGTGCGGGACCCTGCTCAGTAAGCCTCTCTTGGAGCCCCTCAACAGAGCCTTGTACCTCACCCTCCTCCAGTAGGATGATGGTGGATGCTTTTCCATGATGACATTGTGGGAATTTAAGGCTGGAAAAGCTTGTTCCTCCATACTGCCTTCCATAACACTTCAGTTTCTTTTTATCCCTGCTGGGTGGATTAAACTTTAATAAATATGTGGGGGGTTTGTTGTTGTTCTTGTTTGGTTGAGTTTTGTTTTGTTTTGATTTATCTTTTTAAAAAGTAGCCTGGTTTTCTTTTTCTGAGAGTTTCCTAGGTGTGCATATTGGGTCTCTGTAGTGAATCAATTGGAGGAACCCAGAACTGAAGCTTATTCAATCAAGCCTCTAAATCACAGTGATGGATACCTGAGAGAACAATAAAGGATGGGAAATATCAATACTGTGACTGGAGTAGAAGTTAGTAACTCAAGACCACATACTTAGTCAAAAGAAAGAAACCAGAAGTAGCCAGTGAAGAGCTTAAATGTTTCTTAGTTATAAACTGGCAAATAAAAGGAATACAGTCGTTAGAAAGAGTCAGCTAGTCCCCAAATGTGATGTGGAAATGCCTATAAGATATATCTTTAGTAAAATGTATAGCACAATGTTCATGGCATCCTCCTGTGTGTGTGAAGATAGTGGAGGTGGAGATGTGTACACATACGCAGGTGTGTCCTCCTTTGTGCTCCACCTTATTCCTTTGAGATAGGATCTCTCACTGAGACCTCTCTCCTGTCTCACAGGAGCTTGTTTGTTTGTTTTGTTGTTATTCAGATTTTGTTTGTTTTGTTTTTGTCAAGGCTGGCAACCAGCAAACCCCAGCAATCTTTTTAGTCTCTGCTCCCCACCCTCAGCAATAGGGTTGCAGGCACACACACATGGATGCTGGGGATCCAAACGCAGGTCCTCATGCTTGTACAGAGAGCTCTGCTATCCACTGAGCCGCCTCCCCAGCAGCCCTGTCTGGGCTCTCAAAGAACATAATGGCATAGATTATTTCTGGAAGGATATGCATACTTCATAATGATTGTTTCTGGGATAGGATCTGGAGAGCAAGGGCATAGAGATATTTTTTTACATTTTTGCCATATGCATATGTTTTTGTTCTCTGTATGTGTATTTTTATGTGATGTGTGTGTCTGTGTTTGTGTTTGTGTGTGTGTGTGTACATGCACTTGCATGTAGAAGCCATAGGTCAATGTCCTAAATTGCTTTCCACCTTACTTTTTTGAGATTTGCTCTCACGCTGAACCCAGAGTTCAATGACTCAGCTAAACTGACTAACCAATGATTTCCAGAGATCTGTCTGTCTCTGTCTCCCAGTGCTAAGATTTCAGACAGGATCTACCGTGCCCCATGCTGGTGATCAGAACTCAGGTGGTCATGCCTGCATGGCAAGTGCTTTAGTGGCTGAACCATCTTCCAACCCCCATATTATGTTTTCAGTCTTAAGTTTATTAGTACTGTGGCACTGATGGGAAGACTCCAGCACTCATGTCAAGTAGCTCACAACCACCTGTGACTCCATCTCCAAGGGATCCGGTATCCTCTTCTGAACTCTGTAGGCACCTGCACACAGCGTTTTCTCCTACATAAGCACACACATATACACATAATTGGAAATATAAAATAAATCATCAAAATATTTAAGAATAAAAACATACTTTAATGTAAAAATTTAGCCTTTAGCCGGGCGGTGGTGGCACACGCCTTTAATCCCAGCACTCGGGAGGCAGAGGCAGGCGGATCTCTGTGAGTTCGAGACCAGCCTGGTCTACAAGAGCTAGTTCCAGGACAGGCTCCAAAACCACAGAGAAACCCTGTCTCGAAAAAAAAAAAAAATAGCCTTTAAAAAAGTGTAGAAATGGGATATAGTAAGAGCATGGCACCAAGACTCAGTCAAGCAATATCCCTTTCTCAACCCGTTCTTTAGGACACTTGAGGCTGTAGAGAATAATCTGAAATCTGACCTTTGACACAGTCTTGAAGACTTTCTGTGGCCCTTTCTTCAGTCTTTACAGTATGCCTCATCAATTCTTCCTGTCTTCACACATAAGTCTAGCATGAAAAATAAACACCCAGAGACAGATACAGGGGCTAAAGCTGAATCAGAGAAGCAGTGCTGTACACCACTAGAGAGACCTTTTACACCTACCAATGTTCAGAACAAAGGGGTGATCCTCAGACTGCCTAGACTGCACTGTGTCTCCACCAAACCTCAGACTCCACACTCAGTGTGTTCCTGTCTCTTCCCCTTTATATTCCTTTATATTCCAGCCATATGGCTCCTGTCTCCACCTCCCTACTGCTGGGATTAAAGGTGTGTGATTCTCAAACACTGGAATTAAAGGTGTGAGCCACTACCACCTGGATCTGTTTCTGGATTGATTTTTGTGTAGCTCAGGGTAGCCTTGACCGCACAGAGATCCGGCCACCTCTGTCTCCCTGGAATTAAAGGTGTGTGCCACCACTCCCTGGCCTCTAGTGGCTTAGCTTTGAATTTTGACCTTCAGGCAAACTTTATTTATTAAAATACAAATAAATCAAGGTCAACCCTGCCTAAGTGCCTTTGCTTTTTGACCCCATTAATAAGTATGGATCCCTGATTATTAGGTATCCTCCACCCATGCAATAAGCCAATCAAGCCAAATTAATAAGTCCAGGTTTAATGAACAGAGCAAAGCAACTCCCGGGTGACTCTCAGAAAGGTGGGAGAGAAAATCTCTGTAGGTCTGGCAACCAGGTCTTAAATACCCTGTATGCGTGGTCTTGGGCAGCCCCAGGGGAGGAACTGACCCTTGGTGGGCTTTCTTTGGGAGGGGTCTGGAGAGGGCAGCTCCAGGGAGCTGCTGCTTGTGTGCTGAGAGCAGGGTTTGGAATGGGGCCCTGAGCTGGAGATCCCCAACACCCATGACTTGGTTCTTCTTCCTCCAGAGAGCCTCAGCATATGCTTTGTCCTTTCCAGAAAGGCCTTCCCAAAGCTTCCATTTCAAAAAACAGAGTGTCTTAGTACAGGCTCCTGTTTGATCCAGTGACTTTACAAAAACACTCAACCTCACTGTTATAGAGGCTGAGGAGTCCAAAATGAAGATTCCAGTCCTTGGGTTGTAGAGATGGCTCAGCAGGTAAAAGTAGGACCTACTCTTGCATGGGACCTCAGTTTGATTTCCAGCACCCCTGTCAGGCATCTCACAAATGCCTGCAACTCCAGACCAGCAGGATCCAACAACTCTGTCCTCCTTGGGCATTCATGTGCATAAACCCACATAAACACAGAAACAAAATTAATAAAAAAAAAAACTTTAAAAATAAAAAAAAATCTAGTCCTAATTATGTATGCACATGGTAAAAAAGAAAGATTGCCACACTTTAAAAAACTGATTTTTTAAAAAATAGTTAATCATTATTTATGTGTATGTGTAGGACACTTAAGAACCCAGAAAGACTATTGAAGCCAATGGAACCGAAGTTAGAGACAATTGTCAGCCCCTGTGTGGGTTCTGGGAAACAAACCGTGCTGTGAAACACATGTTTGCAGGGTAAAAGAGCAAGCGACCTCCTCCAACAAAACCCAAATCTTCTGCTAGCACAATGAGTGACCGTAACTGCCGAGCCGTCTTTCCAGCCTGTCTAGTCATCTGCAAGAGCAGTCAGTGTTCCTTAGCTGCTGAGCCCTCTCACCATCTCTCTCTGCTTGTAAGGGTGCTAATCCCGTTCATGAAGGTAGAGCCCTTTCAGAGTTCAGCTCTAAAACCATCACATTACAGATTAGAAGTGCTACATACAAACCTTCCACATACTACCATCACCAAGATCCTTCCTTAGTCTCTTTGATTTTCCTCTATATTGCTTCCTGTGTATCCTACAAAATCTTTACACCTAATTTTGTGTGTGCGTGCATGCCTGCATGCGTGTGGAGGCCAAAGGACAACTTTAGGTATCATTCTTTAGGAACCAAGCATTTTGACTTTATTTGTATTGTGTTTGCAGGCATACATGTGTATGTGGGTGTATTTGTGTGTGCTTGTGCATACCCATGTGAAGGTCTGAGTACACTTCCTGTTCTGTTCTCCTGGGATACAGGTCTTCCACTTTTTAAATCTTTTTTCTTTTAATTTAATTTTTTTTTTAATTTAATTTTTTTCATTTTACATACCAACTTCCTCCCCTCCTCCCACTTCTCCCTCCTACCTCCCCACTCCACTCCCCATCCACTCCTTAAAGAGGGTAAGGCACATTGCTTTGAGGAAGGTCCAAGGCCCTCCCTACTATATCTAAGCTGAGCAAGGTATCCATCCAAAGAGAATAGGTTCCCAAAAAGCCAGTACAAGCAGTAGTGATAAATCCTGGTGCCACTGCCAGTGGCCCCACAGTCTGCTCCAGCCATACAACTGTCACCCACATTCAGAGGGACTAGTTTGGATCTATGCTGTTTCCTTCCCTGTCTGGCTGGAGTTGGCTCATGTAAATTGTTTCAGTGGGTTTACCCATGGTCTTGACCACTTTGCTCATATTCTCACTCCTCCCATTCTTCAACTGGACTTTGCGAGCTCAGCCCAATGCTCCACTGCAGGTCTCTGCCTCTGTTTCCATCAGTTGTCGGATGAAGGATCTGTGGTAATATTTAAGATATTCATCAATTTGACTACAGGGCAAGGCCAGTTCACGCACCCTCTCCTCTATTGCTTAGGGTCTTAACTGAGGTAATCCTGTGTATTCCTGGGAATTTCTCTAGTGCCAGGTTTCTTGCTAGCTCCATAGTGGCTATCTCAATCAAAATATCTCTTTCCTTGCTCTCTTCTTTGTCCTTCTTCCATCTCGACTATTCCATTCCCTCAAGTTCTTCTCCCACCTCCTCTTCTCCCCTCCTCTTCCCCTTCTGCCCTCTCTTCTACTCTCACCCCCATACATCCAATTTTGTCAGGCAATCTTGACTATTTCCGCTTTCCAGGTTTTTCTTAGGGTTCACCTTGTTACTTAGCTTCTCTAGGATCGTGTTAGGCTCAATATCCTTTGCTTTACTGCTAATATCCACTTATGAGTGAGTACATGCCATGTTCATCTTTCTGGGTCTGTGTTACCTCATTCAGGATGTTTTTTTTTTCCCATTTTCATCCATTTGCACGGAAATTTTAAGATGTCATTGTTTTTTATTGCAGAGTAGTACTCTAATGTGTAAATGTGCCTCATTTTCCTTATCTGTTCTTCGCTTGAGAGGCATCTAGGTTGTTTCTAGGTTCTGGCTATGACAAATAAAGCTGCTATGAACATAGATGAACAAATGTCCTTGTAGTATGATTGAGAATCTTTTGGGTATATGTCCAAGAGTGTATTGCTGGGTCCTGAGGTAGGTTGATTCCAGTTTTCTGAGAAACTACCATACTGATTTCCAGAGTGGTTGTACAAGTTTGCATTCCCACCAGCAATGGAGGAGTGTTCAGGGTCAGATGATTTCAGTGCAGAATTCTACCAGAATTTCAAAGAAGAGCTAATACCTATACTTCTCAAGGTGTTCTTTATTTAAATCTTTTTTAAACCTTTAAATCCAAAGATTTTACCTCTTGATGAAATGTTTAAATGGTTAATTTTCTTTTGCAGAGCAAGAACATGATCCTGGACCAAGCCTTTAAGTATATAACAGAATTGAAGCGGCAAAATGATGAACTCCTGCTTAATGGAGGGAATAGTGAACAAGGTAGAGTTGTGTGGAGTCTTGCTGTCTCCTGTGCTTAGGTGTTTGTGTTGTAGTAACATGCACTTGAGGACATGAAAAGCTCCCCCAACCCTCAAATCAGAATAGACCAGCCTTCAAGGATCCCCAGAGAATATCATTGCAAATGAGATCATTGTATCCGAACTTCTTCCTCCTCTGTGGTTGGTTAATTTCATCTTGTAGAAATACATAACTTCAATTTTGATTACTTCTTTGTGTTTCATGTTTGCCTAAGTCATTAAACTAATAGTGTTCAATCTCCTTTGTCCACTTGGGTCTTGCAGTTAGGAGACTATCACAAGGCTCTGACTCATGAAGGAGTTCTGCCCAGTGTGACCTATAAACAAAATCAGAGGGTCAATCTGGGCTAAGTTTTAGCAATGTATTGACTTAGAGAACCAAAATATTCATTTCATAATTGTTTACATTAATATAAAGTATATATTGAACTTCCAGATCATTTAACAATGTTTGATTTTTAGTTGTAGCTTTCTTGCTGTGGGTTTGGATTTTTCCCACAGTATTGGAGAGAAGCTGAAAGGAGACACATTGCAGGGTAGAAGACTGTGGAGTGGCCACTTACTATGGTTCTGAAAAGAACCTAGTAGACCACCTGAAATTACCTGGTGCGAGTGAGAAGGAAACATGGAACACCCAACAAACCCACTTAGGAGTTTATTGGATGTGTGTGTAGGCCTGGTGAAGGTCAGTGTGCAGAGAGAGAGGGCTGAAGATGGTGCAACCAGCTTTTAAGGGCTGCCTAGCACATGTGCACAGGGGGATAGCGTGGTTATATCATATTGAGATGATGGAGCTCACGCATGCGCACAAGGGCTCATGCAGCTGTGTCAAACGTAGATGATGCAACCATGCCACATGTGAGTCAAGCCTGAGGGCTTGTATGCACATGCATGGCCCTGGAACCCGAAAGTGTCAGCCATATGGTGGCTGAAATCATAACACCACCTTAAAAGGCATAACGTTTTACTAAAGTTGGATGTGTTCTGCTATGCTGCTTGTAATGGGCAAGAATGGTTTTTGAAGCCATGTCTGGGAGGCCAACATTCGGATTCTTCCTTACATTCAGTTAAATAGTTGCTTTCCTAAGTCAGCCCTCTTGTGATGGTGTAAACCCTCATGGGTGGTTACAGCAGGTAGTTAGATATATTGGTGTTTGGGAACACTGTGACGCACCCCTTAAGATGCTCTGAAGGCCAGAATGATCCATAGACTTTTCCCATGATAGCACCTTTGGCTCAGAGCACAGAAGCTAAGCCAAACAGTCATGTTACCTTAGAGAAAAGGGAAGCCAATGAAAAAATATCAGACGCACAGGGCTTGGGAAAGGCCTAGCAGCCAGGCCAGGGTGGGGCAGAGCCCGAAGCAGCCTCCTCTGGCTCTTTTGTCATCTCTGTTGTGATCCTTGTTTCTCTGGTTCTTTTTGTGCTATTTTCTATCCATTCTCTGACCCCCGCATTTTGTTGTTGTTGTTGTTGTATAGAAAATAGTTGATTTTATTTAATTCAAAGTAGAGGACAGTGTCAGAGAGAGCACTGTGCTGAGCTGTGTTTCAGGCAGGCTTTATAATAAAGTCTGTAGGAGAGACAGCTTTTCTTTCAGAGCATAATTCTGTCCAGAAGTTTTTAATAGACTCCTAATGGGACAATGGTATGTTTTATCAGAAAGCTTCTAGCCAGATAGGAATCTTACAGGGTTTACACACACACATACACACACACGCACACACACACAGAGACAGAGAGAGAGAGAGAGGGAGAGAGAGAGAGAGAGAGAGAGAGAGAGAGAGGAGAGAGAGAGAGAAATATATATAACATGATTATATGTAATATTATAATTTAGTAGTGACCTTCCAGTCGCTTCAGAATGTGACTTCTTTACCTAGTACTAGATATCTGCCCATTTCTTTGGCCAGTAATCAGAGTCCTGCAGTTCTGGTCCTTGGTTTAAAAACCATTGGTTAGCTGGGTGATGGTGGTGCATGCCTTTAGTCCTAGCACTCAGGAGGCAGAGAGAAGCAGGTGAATTTCTGTGAGTTCAATGCCAGCCTGGTTACAAGTTCCTGGACAGCCAAGGTCAGGATCTCTTGTTTGTAGCCACAGCTATTGTCAACAACTTTGAAAGAGTAAAAAATAAGCTCAAACTCTCTGACCTTTAGTCAAGGTGGAATAGTACTCAACCTGTGGACCCCTACAGCACAAAAGATCCAACTCTGAAAATTCAGAGCTCCCATTCCAGAGCTATCTGCCAAAAGGGATGGTAGTGTCTAACATGGTTTTAACCTGGTTTTGTTAGTCAGATGGGACATTAGCAGAATTAAGAATTATACCAATCAGCCTTGATAATAATACAGGTGTCATCCATGGTAGCTGTGAGGATATCTATCTATTACATTCTGGCCACCCTTGGGCTACTATATCAGGCTGAAGCCTATTCAGCTCAAATGTAACCTTTGCATTCCGTAGGGTTCATTTTAGAGGCCTGTCAGTTGTGGTAACCCTGAGCAAAGAGCTTTCAGCTTATCAAAAGCATGTTCCCAGGAATCAGCCTGTGTTCCCCTGTTTCATCTGTTAGCTATCTAGCCTACTGGGAAATTTTGGATTGGGAATGTTGAGACTTGTACACTTTAGGAGATTTTTAGTGGTTGTCCTTTAAAGGTATAGTTTAAAAGGAATATAAAGAAGGCTTGGGGTGTCAGTCTTAGAAGAAAACCTCATAGCAGAGAGCTCATGGCTCTGCTAAGGCCTTTGAAGGCTAGAATTGGAATTAGTGGCTTAGCACATATATTTTTGCTTAAGTTGTTATAATCACTGACATTCACCAGTAATTTTACATCTTCATTTCTAATATTTTAGCTGAAGAAATTAAAAAGCTACGAAAACAACTGGAAGAAATCCAAAAAGAAAATGGCCGATATATTGAATTATTGAAAGCAAATGACATATGTTTATATGATGACCCCACAATCCACTGGAAAGGAAATCTGAAAAACTCAAAGGTGTCGGTTGTTATTCCGAGTGACCAGGTCCAGAAAAACATCATTGTTTATTCCAATGGGAGCCAGCCTGGGGGAAACAGCCAGGGGACAGCCGTTCAGGGAATAACCTTTAATGTTGGTCACAGCTTGCAAAAACAGACCGCCAATGTGGTGCCAATGCAGAGGACCTGCAAGCTTGTGACTCCTGTGTCTATTTCTGGAGTTTACCCTTCTGAGAACAAGCCGTGGCATCAGACTACAGTGTCTGCGCTGGCTGCCAACCAGCCTGTTCCCCTTTGTCTTCCTGCTGCCATTTCTGCTCAAAATATTCTCGAACTTTCTACTTCCGAAAGCCAATCAAGTGTGCTTGGTGCCAGTGGTGGCTCACTGATCACTGTTTCAGTTGGCCCTGACCCTCACCAACATCATTCCTTGCACACATGCCTAAATGATCAAAATGCTTCAGAAAATAGCAGTGGGCAAGAGAGCCCTAAATCATCAAAGCAAACAGTTGTGTGTGTCACAAGCACCTCCTCCAGCAGCTCGGCCACTGCCTCTAACGTGCATCATGGAACCAGATCCGGCCCGAGTGTGCAGGAGTTCAGTGGAGATTTGCAGAACACCATTGTTGTGTCCGTTACCACCACAGTAAGCCCTGGCCCTCCCAGGTCTACAGGTGATTCTTCTCCAGTGAGCATTAGCAAGGCAGCAGACTCAACAACTACAACGACAGTGGTGGCACCAGCTCCCAGCAGAGTAGTGAAGACCACCCTCCCAGTGAACAGTCTTTCTGCAAATCCTTTGGACAGTGGTTGGACTCTTTCTTGTTCTTTGCCTTCTTCAAGTGTTAGTGCTTCAGATTTGAAAAACATCAATAGCCTTACCCGAATCTCTTCAGCTGGAAACACACAGACAACATGGACTACTTTGCAAATGGCTGGAAACACTATTCAGCCTTTAAGCCAGACACCGTCTTCTGCTGTGACTCCAGTATTAAATGAGTCTGATACCAACCCTACCCCAAGCCTCCATAACCATGTGGCTACAGCCATCACTTTAAATAATTCCCTTCCAGCAGATAGGCCGCCAATTGAGCAAGTAGTGGTCACTTTGCCTTCGTGTCCACCCTTACCTATGCAGCCACCAATTGCCCAGCCACAAGTTAAATCTCAGCCTCCAAAAAATATCCTTCCCTTGAATTCAACAATGCAAGTGATTCAGATGGCTCAGCCAGTTGGGTCAGCTGTCACTGCGGCTCCAGGTAACCAAAATGTCATCATTCTTCAGCCACCCAGCACAACCCCATGCCCAGCAGTGATGAGGGCAGAGGTTCCCAACCAAACAGTAGGCCAACAGATTGTCATCATACAGGCAGCCAATCAGAACCCATTGCCACTCCTCTCTGCTCCCCATTCTGGTCCTGTTCGACTTCCTGTTAATGGAGCCAGTGCTATAATAGGGTCTCATAATAATGTGCCAGCCCCACAGACTTTTGGAGGAAAGCATCTTGTCCACATATTACCAAGACCTTCATCTTTATCCATATCTAACTCAACCCAAACTTTTTCTGTTACCATGTCAAACCAACAGCAGCCTCAAACCATTTCTTTAAATGGGCAGCTCTTTGCTTTGCAACCTGTCATGTCTTCATCAGGAACTACAAATCAAAGCCCTATGCAAATTATTCAACCTACCACCAGCGAAGATCCAAATACCAATGTTGCCCTGAACACGTTTGGGGCTTTGGCCAGCCTCAATCAAAGCATATCGCAGATGGCTGGGCAAAGCTGTGTACAGTTGTCTATCAGCCAGTCTGCTAATCCTCAGACTTCTGCAAACAGTCAGCCCAGCCCAGCTAACTGTCTGTCACTAACCACTGTAGCACCTACCATGACAACAGATAATTCAGCCACACTACCCAGTACGTACAGTCTTGCAACAGCTTCCTCAGCAAACACTGTCACTTGTTTGCCCTCTACCATGAAATCAAAAAGACCGAACAAGAAGCCAGGTGCCAAGAAACTCTTAGCAGCTAACAAGCCAGCATGTCCCCTGAATTCAGTCAGAGATGTGGGCAAGCTAGATGGTCCCAGAACAGACAGCTCGGCAGAGCCATCGTGTAGTGATGGACTGCTGAACAGCCTCCCTGGTGGCCTCCCATCTGTTGCTGTGTCCCAGGCAAAGAGTGTTAGTATTTCTGCTTCACATTCTTTGGACATTCTGAATTCTGAATCAGTAATCCCTGAGTCTGTGTCCAAACCTAAGTCAGCAGGGGACTGTAGCTCATCCTCCCAAGAATCGGAAACAAATGAACAGTTTGCAGTGGCCCCAGCAAAATCCAAAGATTCTCCTCCCATCTTGCAAGAGACATCTCAGGGCACACCACCAACTACTGTAGCCTTGTCCAGTGCTACAAACTCCTGTACTTCAGCCAATGTGTTGAGTCCATCTCCTATCGAATCCCAGATTTTGGTTTCTCAGGTTTCTGGTATGTCATCCACTACAAGCACTTCAAGTGCTGACTGTATTTCTGAAGTAGAAATTGTGGCAGAACCTTGCCCCATTCAGCAGAATTCACTGGACACCATGCAAGCAGCAGGGCCTTTAAAGGGACAAGGTTTAACAATGCTGCTATCTGATCTTACTAAAGAAAAAGACCTTCAGAAACCATCTCTTTCTGTTCAGATGGATCATCCAGATTTTTCTCCAGATAATTCTAAGATAGGTGATTCTAATGTTGGTTTGCATCCCAAGCAGGAACTGTTACTGATAAACGACGACAGAGATCCTCCACAGCACCACTCCTGTCTCCCTGATCAAGAAGTTATTAGTGGTTCTTTGCTCGCCAGTAGGCAAGCTGACTCTCCTATGTCAACCAGCTCTGGCAGTAGTCGTAGTTTCTCGGTTGCATCCATGCTTCCCGAAACAGCTCGTGAAGACGTGACCAACAGTACAACAGCTAACACGTGTGACAGCTGTACCTTTGCAGAGCAAACCGATATCGTAGCCCTGGCAGCAAGAGCTATTTTGGACCAGGAGAACATTGAGAAGGGAAGGGTTGGCACACAGACTGAGATGAGGGAGGTTACTTCCAAGTCTTCTGAAACCTCTTTAGAAGGAGAGCAGCCTTTTAAAACACAGATCCGTAAGGAGCCTTGCACAGGACCGGCAGATGCAACACCAAATGAATTTAACTCTCAGGATTCAGTGGAAGTCACAGTCAATAGGCCTCTCGAAAAATCGAGCTGTTCTCTGGGAATTAAATCATCAAATGCCTCCCTGCAGGTGCCGGCCTCTCGGCCGCCAAGTTTGACCAGTTTAAGTGTGAATAATCTTGTCCATCAAAGCAACGTCAGCCATCCTCTGGTCAGCTGCACGGGGTTATCGCAGACTTCCGAGCAAACATCTATTCCTGTAACTGTTAATATGCCTGTTGTATCCAGCTCTTATAGCAGCCAGCCTCCTGCACCACCTCTGATGACAGACTATCCCCAGGAACAGCTGAACAGCATGAGTAGTGCCGTACCAAATCCACAGGCTCAAGAACCCCGCTCGAAGCCGAGTCAGGAGAGCCGGAAAGATTCTGCAAAACGCACTGTACAAGATGATCTTCTACTGTCTTCAGCCAAACGGCAAAAGCACTGTCAGCCAGCCCCTCTGAGGCTTGAAAGTATGCCCCTGATGAGCCGGACCCCAGACAGCATTCCTGACCAAACTCAAATGATGGGGAGTCAGATCCCCACCAACTCTTCAAACTCAGTTGTTCCTGCTAGCAACCCAGCTCATGGAGACGGCCTTACACGGCTTTTCCCTCCTGGTAACAACTTTGTGGCGCCTGCATTGAGGCAGACTGAAGTTCAGTGTGGTTCTCAGCCTCCAGTTGCTGAGCAACAGCAACAAACTCAGGCAAGTCAACATCTGCAGGCCTTGCAGCAGCATGTACCAGCTCAAGCGGTTTCTCACCTTCACACCAACCATCTCTACATCAAGCAGCAGCAGCAGCAGCAGCAGCAAGCAGGGCAGTTAAGAGAGAGGCATCACTTATATCAGCTGCAGCATCATGTGCCTCATGCAGACAGTGCTGTCCACTCCCAGCCCCATATTGTGCACCAGCAGAGAACTCTACAACAGGAAGTTCAGATGCAGAAGAAGAGAAATCTCGTTCAGGGCACTCCTGCCTCTCAGCTGTCCTTACAACCAAAACACCATGGGACTGACCAGTCAAGACCCAAGAGCAGTCAGCCACACCCTCACCATCCGCAGATGCAGCCACAGATGCAGCAACACTTTGCGAGTTCCCAGCCAGAGAAGAGCTGTGAAAACTCTTCAACTGGCCGGGGTCACCATAACCATGCCCAGAACCACCTCAGTCAAGAGATTCTGCACCAGCAACAGGATGTTGGAAGCAGACAGCAGGGTTCAGCAGTTTCTTCTGACCATGTATCCGGTCATAATCCAATGCAGAGGCTTTTGCCGCCAAGAGGCTTAGAGCAGCAAATGGTGTCCCAACCCAGTATTGTGACCAGGTCTTCAGACATGACCTGTGCTCCACACAGGCCAGAGAGAAACCGAGTGTCCAGTTACTCTGCTGAGGCTCTCATTGGAAAGTCATCTTCAACTTCGGAACAGAGAATGGGCATGTCGATTCAGGGCTCAAGGGTTTCAGATCAGCTTGAAATGAGAAGTTATATTGATGTTCCCAGAAATAAAAGCTTGGCACTTCATAATATGCAGGGTCGCATGGACCATGCTGTCCCTCTTCCTGATTGTCAGACATTCAAACCAGCGGGAGCCAGCCAACAGCCCCAGAGTAATTTTGAAGTTCAATCTTCAAGAAATAATGAAATAGGTAACCCTGTGCCGTCACTGAGAAGTATGCAGTCACAGGCTTTTCGAATTAGTCAGAACACTGGCCCACCACCAATCGACCGACAAAAGAGGTTATCTTATCCACCAGTTCAAAGCGTCCCAGCAGGAAATGCTGTCCCACCAAGGGACAGTGAGAACACGTGTCACCAGAGTTTCATGCAGAGTTTACTTGCTCCTCACCTTGGTGACCAGGTCATTGGGAGCCAAAGGTCACTCTCAGAACATCCAAGGAATACACAATGTGGTCCATCTTCAACAATTGAATATAATTGTCCTCCAACCCGTGAAAGTGTTCATATTAGAAGAGAGAGTGAAAGTCAGAATAGGGAGAGTTGTGACATGTCTTTAGGTGCAATTAACACCAGGAACAGCACTTTGAATATTCCTTTTTCAAGTTCCTCTTCCTCAGGAGATATTCAAGGTCGAAACACAAGTCCCAATGTTTCTGTGCAGAAGTCCAATCCCATGAGAATTACTGACAGTCATGGGACCAAGAGCCACATGAACCCTCCTCCGGTCACATCCAACATGCATGGGGTTGCAAGGCCAACTTTGCCACACCCATCTGTGTCTCATGGAAATGCTGACCAAGGGCCTCCTGTACGTCAGGCTAACTCTTCAGTTGCCCAGAGGTCAAGACATCCCCTGCAAGACAGCAGTGGTTCCAAAATCCGCCAACCTGAAAGGAATCGATCTGGAAATCAAAGACACAGTAGTGTCTTTGACCCAAGTCTTCCTCACCTTCCTCTCCCTGCTGGCGGCAGCATGATTCTTGGACGTCAGCAACCTGCTGCAGAAAAGAGAGGCGGTATTGTTCGTTTCATGCCCGAGAGTCCACAAGTCCCTAACGATAATTCAGGTCCTGACCAGCATACGCTGTCACAAAATTTTGGTTTTCCTTTTATTCCCGAGGGTGGCATGAATCCACCAATAAATGCGAATACTTCCTTCATTCCACAGGTTACCCAACCTAGTGCCACACGAACTCCAGCTCTCATCCCAGTAGATCCCCAAAACACTCTACCTTCCTTCTACCCCCCCTATTCTCCTGCTCATCCTACTCTGTCCAATGACATTTCAATCCCTTATTTTTCTAATCAAATGTTCTCCAATCCTAGCACAGAGAAAGTAAACAGTGGAAGTTTAAACAACCGATTTGGATCCATTTTATCTCCTCCCAGACCCGTTGGCTTCGCTCAGCCAAGCTTTCCCCTTCTCCCTGAGATGCCGCCAATGCATATGGCCAACTCTCACCTATCCAATTTCAATATGACATCATTGTTTCCGGAAATAGCAACAGCTCTTCCTGATGGCTCAGCGATGTCACCTTTGCTCACCATAGCAAATTCCTCTGCTTCTGACTCCTCCAAGCAGTCCTCAAACAGACCTGCTCACAACATAAGCCATATCTTAGGTCATGATTGCAGCTCGGCTGTTTAAATCCAGAGAGACTAAATGCGAAGGTTCGGATTGAGTTGACAGCTGTTCTTGTATGTACACGTGTGCATTGAGGGAGTTTGTGTGGGTATGTGTCTTTGTTTTGGATAACCATTTTTCAGTTAGCTTCTGATTATAAGGGAGCCATGTCAGAGAAGATGCATACACCGGGGTTGTCAAAACAATCACCTCTTATTTCTGAGTGATGTACTTTCTTTGATCATCTTAATGATTTACCTTTCCAAGTTTGACTTTTAAATCTTTTATTCCCTAAGTACTAACCAACAAGAAGTTGAAGAGATCTTGGCACATGCTGGATGGTAGGAAGGAGCTGAGATTCTAAAATCAGTTGTTGATAAGTTATAAGATAGATAGTCGAGATAGTTGGTTTGCAAATCCAAAAGTAAAAGCAACATGAAAAAACGTGATTCATCACTCGGTGATGTCAACACCTAACAATTCTCAGCCACGGCAGGTGATAAATTGATAGTAGGCTAAATTCCCATACATAAAATCAAGCAGATAAAAAATATATGAAGTGTTTGACTCCTGAACTTGGTTACAGAGACTTCTTTCTTAATTATAATTTTAACAAACTACCTAAATTTCATGTCTTGTTCTTCAAAATAGGGAGTCACATTATCCTTTAATGTGCCAAGATCATGGAAAGTAAAAGTCTTCCTAAGACAATGAGCCTTAAAAATACAAAGCAAAGATAAAATACAGAAATGTTTTCCACTTAGTACTTGGGTTTTGCATTAGGCCAAAGAATAACAGACATTGTATTGTGGCTTTTCCTAGGGTCACCTAGTGATTAGTGCTTCATCAGTTGAGTTGATGTAGTATTCTCTCTTCATTCTATTTATTTGGTCTGGAAATAAATTAATTTACAATCATTTAAATATTAGAACTGCTCAGTGAATACTGTGTTTAGAAGACACATTTGAGCCTTTTCAGATACTTCTGAATAGGGGTTTAAGCTGTCTCAGTATTTTCATTTGCTGATTATTTATATTAAATATTACATTGTAAATTGCATTATTGTTCTTCATAACAATTATAATAAGAAAATGAATTCATTATTTTTTTTGTAGGTATAAAATGGTGCTTCACAAAAACACATTCTCTGTGTATCTGAGTTCGTGAGTGCGAGTGTGTGTGAAAGCGGGTTCCCAAGTCTAGCCTGTCCTTGCTATTGGAGATGCAGATCACATTGTACATGGTAAACAGGCATAGTCTCGTCTCAATTAAAAGTGAACAAATTGGAAAAGACAGCAGGACTGCCATCTGCAAATGGGAAATCGAGGCTTGCTCTATAGCAGTGGTTCTCATCCTTCCTAATACTGTGTTCCTCATGCTGGGGTGACCCCCAACCATAAAATTATTTTCATTGCTACTTCATAACTGTAACTTTGCTACTGTTATGAATCATGATGTAAATTGCTGTTTTCCAAGAGTCTTAGGCAACCCCTGTGAAAGGTTATTTGAGCCCCACAGGTTGAGAACCCCTGCTCTAAAGCATGCTGTAGTTTTTTAAAAGATTATTATTAATATTATTATTCTCTCATACATTACATCCCAACTGCAGTTTCCCCTCCCTCCATCCCACCTCCTCCACCTCTCTATCCTCTAGATCCACTTCTCCATTTCCCTTCAAAAAAGAAGCGGGGGGGCGGGGAGGGGGGGAGACTTCCCAGGGATATCAACCAAACACTGCATAACAAGTTACAATAAAACTACAGAAACCCTAATATCAAGGTTGGACAAGGCACCTTGGTAGGAGGAAAAGGGTCCTGCTGTAGATGTTTTTTAACACCACTGAATTAGTAATTAATTTTAAAGCATATATTAAGTCTTGAGAACTTAAAACTAAGAAAAAAAACTTATGTGCTGAATTTTTTTTAAAACCATTTAAACTCTTAGCTCTCAACTGTTGCTCCATTCTGGTAAAAACTGGAGAGAGAAGGACAGATGCAGAGCTGGCCCGTTGGCTTAGTAGAAGCGAGCCCAAGGGCCACAGAGGGTTTGGGTTTTTTCCTTTGGTTTGTTTTCATTTTGTACTGGTCTGGTCAGAGCCCTGGTCAGAGCAGTCGCCACCGAATGCCTGTCTAAGGGCCCAGCAAAGGGCTTCTTGTGCCTTGTCAGTTTCTGTTGCCCGAAATCACCCTTCCTGGTGAACAGAGCAAACCCCTTGTTTCCTCCCACTTAGTGTTCCTGGGGGAGAAGAGAAGTTCACAGTTGCATGACTTAACTCATGTACACCACAATAGAAAGGTTGCTGAGGAAAAAGAATCATTTATGAATTGCTTTAAGCATTAATATGCAGAGTGGTCTTTGTACTTGGAGGCCCAGTTTGCCAAGTTCATTAAAGGTAATGTTGTGTATGGCCGATCCCCCTCCCTCCCCCTTCTCTTAGTGGCCGTCTTTCACACGTGAGTCCTTACATCATGATGGCTCTTGAGTTTGGAAGGGCAGGCTTGCGGTATTGGATCCAAGGTTGCATGCTGTGGAGAAACTCCAGTTTTGTGTTGTGTTTCTGAGACAGGGGTCTTGCTCTGTTGTCCAGACTGGCCCGGAATTCCTGGCTTAAGCAGAACTTCCACCTCAGCCTCCTAGGTAGTGCGACTCAAGGTGCACCCCACCACCCAGCAGAGAAGCTCCATTTGTGACTGTGGCACTAAGTCATAAGCCTGTTAAGACTTTGGGTTATTTTTATCTGGTTGTCTGCAGCTCAGCTCTGTCCTGAGATAGCATTGCATTGTCAGGGTTTTCATGCCGAGAAGAGTACTGTGAGGTTGTCTGAATCTCAGCCTTCTGTGAGATGTAAAAGTCTGCAAATAATTGGCTCCTGCTCACATGTGGCCCTAATTAAATACATAATGCACTTGTGTGTTAGAGATCATTTCATGCATGGACTCGGATGAGAAAGAGTTTGCACTTGGTTTAAAAGTCTGGGTTCTTATTAGTGTTAATAATTAAAGCTAAATGATTTTGGGATGAAACTTAAATGGTTTCTGGTAATATCAAGATAAAACTTTTGTTGAAGTAATGGCAGAAAATGCAGTCAAATTTGGTTATAAGTTTCATGTTGTCCTAACCTTTTAACATGACTATGTAAAGCATTTCCACAGATAGCTTTGTAATTTCTGGAAGTACACAAGATCATGTCTGCCTCCTAAGTGAGAGTCATTGATTAGCGCATTTTGTTCTGACTGTTGATCATACAGGATCACTAAACGTGCTCTGTTCCTTTGGGCATTCCAAAGTTAAGTTCTGATGAAGAGTTTTAGATTTCTCTTTGTGTACTTCAATGAACTTGTTAAATATGTCAACTATAGATGAAATAAATCCATTTTAATGTTTTTAATAGACACTGGGTTTTTATAAGTCTTGTATTTCTCCAGGAGTTCTGTTTCTGTTTTCACTAGCACAGCTCTGAGGCGGCAGCAGTCGCTCCCTGTCAGAGTGGAGGGCAGGATTCCCAGTGGTGGCGGTGTGATGTCAGAAGGCTGGGGGTTCTAAACTCTGGCCTTGGGAATCCCCAGATACTGGTCAGAATTATGCTGAACTGCAATGGAGGTTAGCTTTTTACGTCAGTCTTTTAGCCTTTTAAGGAAACTTCTTTTGCCTTGCTCTTGCCTTCTAACGTTAGCCATCTCATAGAGAGGCTAAAACTTACACTCAAAAAAAACAATGTAGACATAGACTGTTACTGTGATTCGGGTTTTCCCATTCCTTCACACAGGTGTGTAGGCTCGAGCTCTCCTTTAGCTGTTCCCCATCAAGCAGATGGCAGGCAGCCTGGCTTTGTCCACGAGACAGTTATGCCTCCATGTTGGAATGTGATTGGGCCCACCCTCTCTATTAGACCAGTGTGTAGTAGTGGGTCCCCTATGCCTCTTTCTTAAACAGCAACAATTCCTCAAAATGCCATTAGTTTGAAGTTGGTAAACTTCTCCCCTGTGGTGGAAGGAAAGGTTAGAGGAGGAACCAAAATGATTAGCTCTGAGCCTGTATCTCAGTGCCTGAAAGGCACTCCAGGTCTGTTGTCTAGGTACTGACTGACTGGAAAAAGTGTGCCTTTGGCTGTTCTATCTGGAGGGCAACCATTAGCCAATGACCAGAAAAACTAGTATGGACTTAATCTCCGAGTGGTTGTTTTGCAGTGTGTATATGCAAATTAATTTTTTCTAGAGATGTCTTTCAGGCTGAATGTCAGCATTTTGTTTTCTTTTCCCAAAGTTCTACCAAAAAGCAAGGGTTTTGTTTGTTGGTTTGTTTTGTTTGCTTGCTTGTTTTTTGCTTGACTATGCTCTGTATTCTGCTCGTGCTGGGCTGAATTCTACTATAGTAAAGTCTAAGCTGTTCTTAGTAGCTCTGTGAGGCTCACAGTGCTCAGATGGAGACAGCCCATGTGGGCTGGGAAAACACTGAGGACCCTTGGGCTCAGAGTTTCTGGTTCTGACCCCACACCTCTGCCCTGGCACTGCCCTTTTCCTGAAACCGTGCCTCTGATTCCTGAGACCAGATCCCAGAACATGTCACCCAGCCGGCCCCGTGCTGCAACGAAGGAGCTACAGAGATGGCACATGCTGTGTGACCAAACACCTCCTAGATGATCAGTACAGCCGATGCTTCTCACTCTTGCCTTGCCACCTCTGAGCCATTGTTGACAAAGTAGCTAGCAAGTTGTGTCGCTGAACCTGTACCTGAGCTTGTGAGGCAGGCCGTCCTTCCACATCCTCATTTCCATGTTGGCATAAACTCTACCCGGTAATTGTTTTTGTGGGGAGGGGGGGTCACACGTGTGTCGACAGGTGCATCATAAACATAGCTCAGCTTAGGCTGAGAATGCCGGGCATGATCTGCAAGCTGTTCTGGATGAATGCACAACCTGTCATTAAAGTTCATGAGACATAGACAAAACCTCTCTTGTAGCATGTTTTTAAACAGAAAATCTTTAACCTTTTGGCCCAGTTGTGTGTACAGTTGTCCATGCAGTGTGTAATAGGAAACTAAAGTTGACCCATTTAATTTTGTCTTCACTCTCTGAGACCTCTCTTCCCCCCTGCTCCTGAAGTCTTAAAGTCTTTTCCATCTCTAAGGTCACTGGGCACAGGGCTTGATGATAGTGGTAAATTTTCAGGCTGTTGAACTTCTGAGAAGGGACCAGACAGTGTTGCTTCAGATGCTGCAGTTGTGTTAATGTGAAGGAAACATCTTCCACTTCCAGCAGGTTGTGTGTGTGTGTGTGCACGCGTGCATGTGCGTGTGCATGTGTGTGTGTTCATTTTGGTTTTTTAAAAAGGTTGAAAATTGAGGAGAACATGATTACTTTCACAGATTATTTATAGATACACTGGTCTTGATGCTTACTGTCGGCAAGCACCAGGAAAACACAAGTTTTAGTGCTTCAGTAGTGTAATCTGTGTACCTGTGACCCAGCCAGCAGTCTTCTGTGCACTGTGTCCTATAACTGTAAATGACTTGGTTTATAATTCTAATGGAAACTAATTTGTTTTGTAATGGAATACAGAGCAGATATGTATAATAGGATCAGGATTGTCCTACAGCTGTAAATAAGAATAGGTCCTGTTTATTTTGACATCTTTTTACAAATGCATTGTATTAGGATGTGAATATTCCAAAACATGCTCTTGTTTAAAGTTTTGAAATTTTTATTGTTAAATGTAACATTTTAATGGTTGTAATAATTATTTGTATGGATATGGATATAGTATTTTATTTAAGAAAATAAACTTTGCAGTTTTTGCATTGTGAATTCTCAATTTTTTCCTCGTCATTCCCCATTTCACTGCAGATCACCTTGTCTCAATCTGAAGTAGTATAATTAATTTTTTCCATCTGTCTGAAAAGATGCCATGGCACGTTCCCGGTGGGCATGTGTTCCTAAGCATTACACCTCAAGTAAATTAGTTATGGTCGGGGCACACCTGTACATTCCTTAGAAAAAGTCAAATTAGGATTTCACATATGGAAGAGTATTCGGTGATGATTGAGGCTGAACACTCCGCCGAGTGGCAGGAGAAACTAAAACATAGGAATTTGAGATGAAAGCTGATGTTAGGCCAGACAGGGGTCTTCGCTGAGAAGAGCACATACTGTTCCTGCAGAGGATCCCATGTCAGGTGCTGGCACCACCTGTAACTCGTGCTTGAGGGATCTAACGCCCTCCTCTGGCCTCTTCAGGCATCTGCACCCACACTCATACCCACTTAGATGCACATAATTAAAAATTAAATCTAAAGAAAGTTGGGGGACCATGAATGGTGGCACACACCTTTAATCCCAGCACTTGGGAGACAGAAGCAGCCAGAGCTACATAGACCCTACCTTAAAAGAAAAAAAAAAAACCCTGAAAGTTGGATATTTTACTCTAACTTTATCAACTGAGTTAAAAGCTTACCAAGCATAATTT